CCCACGACGAGTCTTTGATGCCGTCCTCTTCAGCAACGAGGTCGACATGCTCAAGATCCGATGGAAGGAGCTCTACCCTTACATAACCCGTTTCGTCTTACTCGAGTCCAACTCCACCTTCACAGCCATACCGAAACCCCTCAATTTCGCCTCCCATAGACGAGAGTTTGACTTTGTCGAGCCGAGGCTGGCGTACGGCGTGATCGGCGGAAGGTTCCGGAAGGGGGAGAACCCGTTTGTCGAGGAGGCCTACCAGCGCCTCGCGCTCGACCAGCTCCTTCGAGTCGCTGGGATCGAGGACGACGACTTGCTTATAATGTCTGATGTGGACGAGATCCCGAGCCGCCACACGATCGACCTGCTGAGATGGTGCGATGATATTCCTCCCGTTTTGCATCTCGAGCTGAGGAATTACATGTACTCGTTCGAGTTCGAGGACGGGCGAACGAGCTGGCGGGCCTCGGTGCACAGGTACGTGAAGGGGAAGACGAAATACGCGCACTACAGGCAGACGGATTTGCTGCTGGCAGACTCGGGATGGCACTGCAGCTTCTGCTTTCGGTACTTGAGTGATTTCGTGTTCAAGATGAAGGCGTACAGTCATACTGATCGGGTGAGGTTTTCGCACTTTTTGAGCCCCAAGAGGATTCAGGACAAGATCTGTAAAGGGGCTGATTTGTACGATATGTTGCCTGAGGAGTACACTTTCAGGGAGATTATAGGGAAGATGGGAAATATTCCGCATTCGTATTCGGGGATTCACCTGCCATCATACCTTCTGGAGAATGCGAATGAGTACAGATATCTGTTGCCGGGTAACTGCATAAGGGAACAGAGGAGGTGAGGGAGTGGTGGGTTTTTTTCTGAGTATTGGGGTGAAACCCTCGGGTTTTGTCTTGCTCTGTGAAGGAAGATAAGCTTTTTAGGGCTGTTTTGCTGTTGGTGTTGGATTTTGATGGCACGACAGATTGGCTTCAAGGGCTTCTTGATACTGAATTTTTGTTTGTTCGGTTGCGTTTTCTTATGGTTACTCTTTGACTACAGATTAATTATATGTGTATTCTTAGTTTGACGTTCGACCTTTTTTTCTGATTTTGTAATGACCAGTGGTAGGACTGATGATGATGATGATGAGGATGAATATGATGCTAGGCGCTGATATTTCTTGTTACGTTTAGATCATTTTGCGTTTGGTAGATCTATTTCTGCGTTTCGATATCTGGTTCGAAAATGAATCTTTCTCTTATTTACAGATGAGATAAAAACATGAATATTTTGATTTGATGTGAATGAGGAAAGATTTTTCCATTGATTGGCATATGCTTTATGCAATGAATGTCTTCTTGGTCCTTAAAAAATGGCTATGAATGGATGGAGATGAAAGCAAAGTAAAATGATACAGACTATGATACAGACTAGCATATATAATATGATACAGACTAGCATGGCGCCTGGCCAAATCTTTTTTTTTTATCGGTAAATAAATTTTATAGATCAAAACTGATTTTACATCTACCGTCTCGCGGCACACAAAAGCAAAGTGGTCAAATCTTACATTGTCAGCTGATGAACAGATCCCATTTGGGGGAGATAACACAGTTATTTTTTATAATTATGGGAAAATTGTTAAGTCCCCGTTGTGCATTTTATATTTATTCATCAAAAGCGGAAGCATAAAGCAATAATATATAACCGACCCATTCATTTTTTCCTCGTCATGCTCGACACCTACTTAACCTCGTTTGTTCTAAAGTTACTATAACTGCATTTTGTTTTAAATCCCTCAACCTCGTTTTAGTTTCTTTGTCAATCCTAAGTAAAAAAAAAAAAAAACAGTGTCCCACTCTCTACTCTTTGATGTTTTAGTCAACAAACTAGTATTATAATATTATTTCATTAACATATAAAAAATGAAAAACTCTTGTACCTCCTTTGTCAGACAAGAATTGTTCATCTCCCTACCAAAAATTTGACACTGTCAACCGAAAGAAAATCTCAAAAGTGATACTCAAATTATTTTATCATTTTCTTCCAAAGTTATGTCTCGCGGGAGCCGCACAAGCGGCGCCGAGATATTGATACGGTCATCGTCTCCGTCTTCTCGCAGCCGACTTCTACGTTGTAGTTTGTGTAGTTGTAAATATATATAAAAAAAAAGACTTGGGGAGAATGAAGAAAACGAAACAAAAATTCTCCGAAATTTTCCTGTAGAATACCAACGATTAACGGCAAACGCCTCCAAGGTACAACGACTTTCAACTTGTATATACCGGTACATCAAATATACAAGAATTCGCGAACACTACTATTGTTTGGAATTCTCAACACTCAATGAAAAAATCAAATAACACAATATGCTATATGATCATTGAAAAGTAATACAAGAACTCTATAACTTTTCGAGTTTTTAATTGTTTCATATATATGGGTATATTTGTAAATGTAGGAAAACAACTCAAAGAGGTTTAAGTGTCAAAATACATCTTTTGGGACATACCTGAACAAGAACGGATGCATCTAAGGGCCAAAACACACTTTGGGTGACGTGTCTCGTTTCTAGCATAAACCCATCAGCTCGCTTTCTACATATATCTTCCCAATCAAGAGCAATTCCCAGCTCCAACTTCGACCTTGTTAGTTTGATCTGAGCGAGAACTATGAGCGAGAACTATATGAGTATAAACTGGTTTATTAGGGCTAGAGATATATTAATATATGTCCTCCCTAATAAGTTTTTGTATTACTTAAGAGTATCCACAATGCTTTGAGTTCTTTAAAAAAGAATTATATGTCACCTAGGAAATATACCCAATCTAGAAAAATATATTTTACAATGGAAGTACAAGTAGACTGGATCATGCTGATCTTACAAAAAAAAAAAAAAAACCTGGTCTCCTCTTAAGTATATTTTCGACCCAAGTAAAGACATAGTCTCTTTGTATCGGAGTGAATTTTGTTAATTTATATAATTTTGTCAATGTCATCTAATAAGACTTTGATTTATTTACGTGCCATATAGGCACAACTAAACTCAATGCATTGCCAAAAAAAAGTGCGAAATACTATTGTCCAATACGACGCTAGCATAATCTATTGAAAATCTAGCTAGGCACGTTTCATACAACCATACACATTTTGCAGTCAAATAAATAATCTTTTCCCAACTCAACAGTGTACAAACAATAGAGCAAATCTTACTTGTAATTAGCATCAAATAACAATGCATCAAACAACAATAAATAAACAGCGGAAAACATACAGATAAGCATTTGAAAGGCTCGATAGCAGCAACAAATCAACAAGGCCAAGCCACAAAAATATTAACTTTGACATCTGAGTTGCCAAATTTCAACTCAAGAAACAGCTTTCGAGTTTTGTTGATCTACAGGCAACACGATGCTATCAATCCTGGTAAATGTTTAATTCATTTGTTTTCTCATTCCTTTTTTAATTTTAAGTGTAAGCACTCTCATGAGGGTGGAAAATTGGGTGCTTGTCGCCGTTTATAACCGGTCCAACACATCAAACACGCTATCCTGGGATGGAAACTGCAAATCCTGTGCCAAAACAAAACCCAATCATGATTTATGTCCTCAAACTGAAAACTATGTAAGACCTCAGAAAAAAGAAAAAAGTAACAGAGCATAAATGCTTACACTAAGCTGAAAATCTGGTGGAGTATCGAGCAATAAGTTGTCGAGATCACTAACATCACAAGAAGCACTTCCATATTTCTGATGTGATGAACCACTTACATCGACACTGGCTTGAGTCGAGGAGGAGATATTTGGTTTCAAATCACCCCAAGTCATATATGAATCAATTATCTCGTCGCACAATAGGGAGTCAGCTCGACTCAGATCAACGACTTCAGAGTTCCCATCCAAACAGGTGGCATGACCCATTTTATTTCCAGTACGAGAATCAAGCAAAAGATAATTAAGAGGCTCCTTGAGATATTCCTTGTCCTACTCCACAATATACAAGTGCCGAAGGGGTTAGATAATAATATCTTTCCTTTTTACAAGAATCCGAATAAAAATATCTAAAGCGCCTCTTTTTAAGTGCATAAAACAAAAGTAAGACTGACATGGAAAACAACTCTGTCTTTGTCCCCTAATAGAAATGCAGCATAAACACAACTCAATGTGTACAATTTGGTCAGAAGTCAAGAACTTTGAGCTTTCAAGACTTTCACCTACCAGATATCAATAATACTATACTTTAAAGGATGTACATTGCCTGAGAAATATTTGTATGTAGTGACAAAGCTACCTTGATGTTTAGTCTATCTAAAGAAAATCTGGAAATTTCCTTGATACTAGTTCCTTCTTCTACAACATGCATTCTCCATAAGGGGCCGTTTATTAGATAAAGCACTCCACATGTTGTCTGCAACAGTTTAAGATATCCGTAATTTAGACCTACAGTTTTCTTGTAAACACCCTAATACATGATTAAAAACATTTTTAAGGTGCATCTGCGTAGAATAAATTAAACAAAGCTGCAGCCAACCTGGACAAACGACTGCACGAAATAATCACTCGGGACATAATCAGAAGGGGGAGTATTTTCTGGTCGAGGAGGGTCGGGAGTATTTGTCATGGGAGTCTTTGGGATCACTTGACCAGTGGCTACATCACATTCTTCAGTCACAGAGCACGCCTCGTGTTTGTCATTCTCCTTCTGCGGCTGGTAAAAAATTTTCGAGACCACAAGCTCCCCCTCTGTCTCGTCCTTGTGAGTCCCAAGATGAAACTGGTGCATCACCCAATGACACCTACTGGGCTTGGATCCCCTCTTAGACGTTGCATACAAGACCATGATTTTTTTAAAACCCTTTTGAATCCCGTTGTCAGTCACGGGTTTGGTTATTCCGGTTTTGTGCCAACGGACATGAGAATTTATTATGTTGTCTTGGTCATGTATTCTTCTGCGCTTGCGCTGACCGATAGAGTATGCATTGATGATTCTGTAAAAGAAGTGGATGCTAGTACCATCTTTCTTCGCTCCTGAAATAATTGCATTACGAACTGAAGTTAGCATTGTTTCCAGATTTCTCAAATGATTGTATCAAATATGGATCAAAAGCAAAAATATAATAATAATCTCACCAAATTTACAGCTTAAGTATAGTGATTTGCAATTTTTTTTTTTAAAAAGTAAGGATATAATTGAAGTAATTCTCCACTTCTGTCTGGGAAATGTTCATATTTTCATGGCTAGAAGCTAAGTTGCACTCTTCAAGAGTTTGCGAACACTCAGCATGTAAAGAAGAATAATTAACTAAATAGGATCGTTCTATCAGCAGAAGACAATTTACTTCTGTCCAAAAAGAGTGGTGAGACATCTTTCTTATATCCAAACAATACCGACCACTCTCAGTCTAATCTTGGAAGCATTACTGCATATCAGCATCATCAGCAAGTACCCGGTAAAAGAAAAAAAAAACAGGAAAAACAAAGGAAGAAAATATACCTAAAGGAGTTAAGAGCAATCTTACCGGGAAGATTCTCTGGATGAGTGTAACAAATGCCCTCTTCACCTTCAAGTGTAGGGATAAATTCATCAATTAACACGTGGGATTTTGCATCCCCAATCCCACGTTTCGCGGCCAAATGTTCTAACAGCTCCACATCAGATGGGTCAAATTTTACCCCAGCAGGAAGACCGGGCCAATCAACACAAACCTGAAACGAAATACATGTATATCGAAAATCAAAACGGGTTGCACCCGAGAAAGTTTCAAAAGCTCCACAATGCTTGTACCATAACTTGCTGCCTTTTTTCTTCATGATAGTACGGTAGAAACAGAGTACACCTTTTTTTTTTTTCTTTTTGTGGGACAGAAGCAATCTTATCAGATTAAAATAGGATGTTAGCTTACTACTTTCAAACAGAAAGCAATTTGATATCATACTTTTCCTAAAGTATCTGACAGAAATAGTTAGACGAATCGAAAACTGTCTGGAGCTTACATCACTATTATCAATAACATGCTTGCAGTTGGGGCATTGCCGATTAGCTCCACAATCGTTTATTTGATAGGGCAAGCCAGCACTTTTCACCTTTTTCGCTATTCCTCTGCCATCGACAATCCAAGCCCTGCATTGCTTAGACGGGTTGGTCAAAGCCGACTAAAGATAGACTACATTATAACATAAAAGAGACACTGCATTGGCCATAAGGAGCTCCAATCTCAACTTCACCGCAAAAATATCAGAAGCATAACCGTAGGTAGCATTAACGGGCATACCATACGAAATTTTCTGCTCAAAAACAGAACTTTCTCATATGGGACACATTTAAACATGACAGACACACAAGAAATAGAAAGAATCTCTTCATGGTTCCAATTCAGTGCCCACCAGAGTCACTCATATGATCACAAAAAACCTTTTATACTGTATCGACAAGTCCTTCGCTAGCAATGTGATTACTATATTCAAATAAACACCAGATAGAAACAAAAACACAACCGTTTTCTACATTTCATCCAAAAATGTGCATAAAACTCAATTACTAAATATTCAGCACAATAAAAACATCGATTGAGCACGATAGAGCTCCGATAACAACTATCGTCAGCTCAAAACACCATAGCCAAAGAGAACCCAGAAAAAAAAATCATCGTTCAAGAAACACACCCAGTAAAGGGATGAAGTGTTTGGTGTTATTCAATTCTTTTTTACCTATCCATTCAAGAAACCATGAAACCTAAATACATACGAATTGGGTTTTCAATAATCACCTAGCCATGAATAAGAGCAACAAATAAAGGGTTTATCACAGCAAAATCACTGCGAAATTGCATTTGAAGCTGCCGAGAGAGTGTAGTGTAGTACAGTACAACTTTCCCCTTTTCTGAGTTTTCTCCACTTGGCTAAGTAAAAAGAGCTGAGGGATGAAGCGGGAAAATAGTTCGGGCTTCCCGAGCCTGAGGCCCGGAGTAGCGTCGGAAGGGGCCATGGTTGACTGAGCCTGACTCCGAGCCTCGGGCCGGGCAGGGACATAGGAAAACGGTAAGATTGTTGGGCAATGTATGACTTGCCCTCCAAGCTATAAATGGAAATGACAACATGTCCAGTTCTGCCCTTCCTTACTGTCTGAAATTACTATAATACCGTTGTGTTTGGGGACAATTAGAGGGACGTGTTCGGAGGGTAGAATTGGGATGTTAAATTGCCGTGATGATTAGTTTTGTTTGCTTTATGTAAATAACTACGGTGTAGGAAAATCTTGTAGGCAGATTCACCGCAGGGCTATTTGCAGACAATATGGATGTTGAATATTATCTACAACTTTTATTATTATTATTATTATTATTATTATTATTATTATTATTATTATTATTATTATTATTATTATTATTATTATTATTATTATTATTGTTGTTTTGCCTAGTTTTAAATTTTAACTAATGTTAAATAAGTTAGTACATGCTTGTTTATATATATATATTTTTTTTTTGGTTAACTACATTTAATTTTGAAAAAGATAGTTGGGTTAGGTTTGAGTTATTTTTTTTTTTGGTTTTGAATTAAAATAATATTTAAAATAAATATTTAAATTAAGTTTGATGCAAAAGCATGAACGAGGTGATGAGAAGTACTGGATAATTAAAATAATGTGAGTGAATGTATAGTGATTAAAGTTAATGTGATGTATATAAAGATTGATTGATATTATTTAATTATGTTATTAATATTGAGAATTGTCAGATTGAGTTTAATTTAAGTTGAACTTGAGTTGAGAGTAGATTTGTTTTAAGAAATAAATTATAAACAAGCGATGCCTTACTTTTTTTTTAAACAAAAAAAAAAAAATCCTACTATTTAGAATCATTAATACCTAAAACTCTTATTCCATGATTGGGGATAAAATTTTCTGGTTTATCTTACCGTAAATTTTGTTCACAATTTTTAACTCAGTTACAATCAAATTCAAAATATAATAAATAATAGCAATTATTCATTTTCTCTCATCACATCAACTTTATTCACTGTTTATCTCCTAACATAATTTTACCACATATCGTTCCAAATAACTCTTTCATACTTTTATATCACATCAACTTCAATCATTATATTTTAAATATTATTTAAATACAACTCAAAATTTCACTCGATCAACTTTTTAAAAATTAACTCACCTTTTCAATTAATTTAATCAAAATAAAAGGTATCTAATCACCCCATAATAAAAAGAAAAGAATGAAATCTAATGAATATAGTCAATATTATACTGCTTAAGAAACCAACACAACAAAAAGCTGCAATTGTAAGCCAAAAGAGAACCACTTAGAGTTCATAGGATAAAACAAAGCAATTCTTGAATAAGGGCAAAAAATGATAATAACTTCTTAGAATGTAAATAAACCAAATGACAAGCTAGGAGGTGCATAAAACACTACAAAATAATAAATTCACCAATAGTTCGATCTCTCAAGATGAATACTATAGGAATTTCGAAGACATTATCATTTTTATAATGTCGCCTAGTTGTGGAGAAAATTGTTGACATCATTTTCAGTAAGCCAAATTAGGTGACGATAATCCGCCGATTGGGATCAGTATAATGATAATTAAGGTTCATGCAAGAATGTGACACATCCACCGGCTTCAAGACAACCGCACGATGAAAGATTCAACAAAAACCGACGTCTCCGTTATAACCAATATCACATGTCGGTCAACACATGTCGGTCAACACATGTCGGTCACGACCTGTCGGTTATAGCTGGATGAACCGATATCTATAATATGCCACCTCAGCATGGTAAGGCGGCGACAACTCAGCATAAGTCATCATTACGTTTGTCCAAGTGGCAAGTTATCAAGAAAAGCAGACAAAGACCGCCTTTGACCCTTCAAAGTGTAATGATTATTATACAGATAAATATTGTACGTAAATATAAAAGGAGGAGATTAAAAAAAATTCTCCACGCAC